GCGATATTTTTTTTTTAATATAATTTTTCTTGGATTTTGAAGGCTATAGATCACGGATTTGGGCTAAAGCTATTCATCAACGAGGAATGAGTCGAGTAAGCAACGAATTGTGCAAATTTCTTCCTAGTCAATTTTTGGTAGATTCCAAAGGGGTACAATCATAAATTTTGGGCGATTTTTCCGAAATTCCATTTTTCTGATTTTGGACTCTACAGATCACGGATCCTATAATAAAATCTATCAATCATATTCTCCATTGATGGTGAAGTCCATTAAGCACTGATTTGGGCGAATTTATTTTCGGATGGAATTTTCTTAATTTTTTAGGCGATTTTTTTTCAAAATGCAATTTTCCTTGTATTTTGAAGGCTTCATATCACGGATTCGCGCTTAGGCTATTCTTCAACGATGATTAATTCCATTAATCACCGATTTGGGCGAATTTCTTCGTGGTCAAGTTTTGGAAGATTCCAAGGGTACCATTACAGATTTCAAGCGATTTTTTGGAAATGCCATTTTCTTTCGATTTTTTATGCTTCAGATCACGGATTCTTTTCGAGGCTCTTCTCCCCCAATAATGAAGACTATTGATCCTATTCTCCACCGATTATTAAGTCCATTAAGCACCGATTTGGTCGAATTTATTTTCGGATGACATTTTAGTAATATTTAGGCGATATTTTCGAAAAAGTCATTTCATCAATAATTAAGTCCATTAAGCACCGATTTGGGGAAATTTCTTCCAGGTCAATTTTGGCAGCTTCCAAAGGGGTAACATCACAGATTAAGGGCAATTTTTCCGAAATGTCATTTTCATTCGATTTTGGATGCTACATATCACAGATTTATCCCGAAGCTATTCTCCACCTATAATGTAGTCTACTGATCCTATTATCCACCAATTTGGGCGGATTTATTTTCAGATGACATTCACATAATTTTTTGAGCGATTTTTTTCGAAAGCCCATTTTCTTGGGATTTTGTAGGCTCCAGATCAAAAATTCGACCCAAGGCTATTTCTTTAACGATGATTGAGACTATCAAACAACTCTTTGGGCGATTTCTTCCGTGTCCATTTATGGCAGATTGCAAACGTGTACCATCACAAAATTTGGGTGATTTTTCTGAAATGTCATTTTCTTTCAATTTTGGAGGCTACAGATCACGGATTCAGCCCGAGAATATTCTCCCCTTATAATGAAGTCTATTGATCTTATTCTCCACTGATGATTAAGACCATAAAGCATTAATTTTAGGCAAATTTATTTTTGGATGGTATTTTTGTAAATTTATGGCACTTTTTTCAAAAGGTCATTTTCCTTGGATTTTGTAGGCTCCAGATGTCGGATTTAGCCTGAGGTTATTCTTCAACGATGATTAAGTCCATTAAGCACCTATTTGGGCGATTTTCTTCCGCATCTATTTTTGGCAGATTCCAAAGGGATACCATCACATATTTAGGGCAATTTTTATGAAATGTACTTTTCTTCCGATTTTGGAGGCTACAGATCACGTATTCAGTCCGAGGCTATTCTCCACCGATAATGAAGTCTATTGATCCTATTCTCCACCGATTATTAAGTCTATTAAGTATCGATTTTGCCAAATTAATTTTATTTGGGCCATTTGTTGCGAAATGTCATTTTCCTTGGATTTTCAAGGCTACTGATCACGGATTCGGCCTGAGGCTATTCTTCATCGATGATTAAGTCCATTAAGCATAGATTTGTGCGAATTTCTTCATAGTCATTTTTGGCAAATTCCAAAGGACTCATCACAAATTTCATGCGATTTTTTTGAAATGCCATTTTCTTTCGATTAGGATGCTACAGATCACGGATTCTACTCGAGGCTATTCTCCACCGATAATAAAGTATATTTGTCCTATTCTCCACTCATAATTAAGTCCATTAAGCACCAATTTGGGTGAATTTATTTTGGATGGCATTTTCATAAATTTTTGAACAATTTTTTTCGAAAGGCTATTTGACTTAGATTTGAAGGTTCCAGATCATGGATTTGGCCTGTGGCTATTCTTTTATGATGATTAAGTCCATTAAGCACCTATCCAGGCGGAATTCTTCAAGGTCAATTTTTTGCAGATTCAAAAGTGGTACCAACACAGATTTCGGGCAATTTTTCTGAAATGCCATATTTTTTTATTTTTAGACTACGGATCACGGATTCAGTCTCAGACTAATATCCAACAATAATGAGGTCTATTGATCCTATTCTCCACCGATGATGAAGTCCATTAAGTACCAATTTGGGTGAGTTAATTTTCGGATGATATTTTCATAACTTTTTGGGCGATTCTTTTCGAAAGACCATTTTTCTTGGATTTTAATGGCTTCAGATCACGGATTCGCCGTAAGGATATTCTTCAACAATGATTAAGTCCATTAAGAACTTATTCGAGTAGATTTCATCAGGGTCAATTTTTGCAATTTCAAAGTGGCACCATCATAGATTTCAGGCGATTTTTTCGAAATGTCATTTTCTTTCTGTTTTTGAGGCTTCTGATCACGGATTCTGCTCGAGGCTATTCTCCACCAATAATGAATTCTATTGATCATATTCTCCACCGACGTTTAAGTCGATTAAGAAGCGATTTAGGATTATTTCTTCCGAGTCCTTTTTTGGCAGACTCTATTGGGGTACGATTACTGATTTCGGGCTATTTTTTTAAAATGTCATTTTCTTTCGATTTTGAAGGCTATAGATCACTGATTCAGCTCGAGGCTATTCTCCACCGACAATGAAGTCTATTGATTCTATTCTCTATCGATGATTAAGTCCATTAAGCACCGGTTTTGGCGAATTTACTTTTGGATGAAATTTTCGTAATTTTTTGGACGATTTTTTTTCGACAGACCATTTTCTTGGATTTTGAAGGCTCCAGATCACGGATTCAGCCAGAGGCTATTCTTCAACGATGATTAAGTCCATTAAGAACCTATTAGGTGACTTTATTCCAAGACCATTTTTGGCATATTCCAAAAGGGTATCATCACAGATTTCGATTGATTTTTCCGAAATGTCATTTTCTTTAGATTTTGGGGGCTAAAGATCACGGATTCAGCCCGAAGCTATTCTCCACCGATAATGAAGTCTATTCATCCTATTCTCCACTGATGCTTAATTCCATAATGCACCAATTTGGGAAAATTTATTTTCGGATGACATTTTCGTTATTTTTGCCGACTTTTTTCAAAATGCCATTTTCCTTGGATTTTGAAAGCTCCAGATCACAAATTCGGTCTGAGGCTATTCTTCAACGATGATTAAGTCCATTAAGCACCGATTTGGGAGGATTTCTTCCCAGTCCTTTTTTGGCATATTCCAAAGGGGTATCATCACAGATTTCGACCGATTTTTCCAAAATGTCATTTTCTTTTGATTTTGGATGTTGCAGATCACGAATTCAGCATGAGGCTATTCTCCTTCGATAATGAAGTCTATTGATTCTATTCTCCACCGATAATTAAGTCCATTAAGCACGCAAATGGGCATATTTTTTGGGAAATTTTTTTAAAGACTATTTTCCTTGGATTTTGAAGGCTACATATCACGGATTTGCACTGAGACTACTCTTCAGCGATGATTAAGTTCATTAATAACATATTTGGGCGATTTTATTCTGGGTCCATTTTTGGTAGATTCCAAAGGTGTCGATCACATATGTCGGGCGATTTTTCCGAAATGCCATTTTTTTATTTTGGAGGCTACAGATCATAGATTCAACTCGAGACTATTCTTCACCGATCATGAAGTCTATTGATCCTATTCTTCACCGATAAATAAGTTCATTAAGCACCAATTTGGGCGAATTTATTTTCGGATGATATTTTCGTTGTTTTTCATTAAGCACTGATTTGGACGGATTTTTTCCAGTACAATTTTTTGTAGATTTCAAAGGGAAACCATCACAAATTTCTAGCGATTTTTTCGAAATATCATTTTCCTGAGATTTTGAAACCCACAGATGACGAAGATCAAAGCGATGGCCTTCATTCTCGAGCACATGTAGAGTAGTGGCTAGCGCAAGGCGATTGTGGAGACAGACTGTCAAACGGTGGTCTTCGCTCTCCAAAAGGCAGAGTAATCGAGGCTGAAGGCTGGTCTACTCATCAAGGAATTGTAAGAGGAAGCCCGATGGATCGTTCCGCTGCGCTAGAGCTTTGCCGAATGGACCTGTAAGACCCATGTTATGGCCATGTCCTCTGTAACTGAGGAGCCCAAGAAGTTTGAGAAATCAGACCTCCTGTTTTTCTCCTAAGCACTTTGGCTAAGGAGAACATTATTATGATATTATCTAATAATTCCATATGGAGTATTATTATCTAATAATTCCAGATGCATTAGGGTTATAAAAGATAAAATAAACAAGTTTATATCCGAAGGTCAATGGGAGAAATTGTCAATATGATGAATTTGATAATAACGTATTCAATCAACCGATAGCTGCAAACTGCCACATTGAAATTGAAACAAATAGGGCTGAACTTTCAGTGCGATAATCGATATTCAATTCGCGTCTTTCACTTGATGAATCACACGTTTCTCAAAGTATTACTATTCCTAAGTGCAGGAGGAAGGGTTGTAAGCGATCAAATGCCTCAGGGTTGAAAACAAGCGTAAATTTGAAGATTCCTGAATAAGACCCTTTCAAACTGTTGCTGAATCCATGGACAGGCAAGCTCCAATAGGGCAAAGACCCAAATGGCAGAAAGCAAATATATCCTCTTTCTCAAATCAACGGCCAATCATTACCCATTCACAAACCCTAAAATCCCAACAGAGACATTCGAACTAATTCTCAAACCCAGCTTGTACTTCTGTATATATATGCTATACAGGTAATAAGCAGAAGACCTCAAATCTGTTGCGAAAAGAAAAAAGCACCATAGCCTAAGCCAACTATTTGCATCCATAACCGTATTGTTCAAAGCAAGAGAGAAAACCACAACCACGAATAGGCATCGGAGGTTTTTGTCAAATTAATGAGCATTATTGGCTTGGAGAAGACCCTCGCGAATCTGAGAAGCAACATCACGAACTGCACCAGGTCCATGGGGAATGAAGATAGCTGAGGATTTGGAGGCAGCACCAATTTCCTTCATGGTGTCAAAGTACTGTGTCACCAAGACCATGTCCATGACATCTTTGGCAGATGTACCCGGCACATTCTCAGAGAAGCCAATCACACTGTCCCTTAATCCATCCACAATTGCTTGCCTCTGGCGAGCGATACCCAACCCAGAAAGATACTTCGATTCAGCCTCACCTTCAGCTCGCTTGATCTGCAGGATCTTTTCAGCCTCTGCCTTGTCAGTAGCTGCCACCCTCATTCTTGCAGCTAAAATGCATGAAAAGGAAGGGCAATCATAAACGTACTGCTAATAGAAAAAGTGATGCTTCGAATGCATGAAAAGGGCAATCAGAAACGTACTGCTAATAGAAAAAGTGATGCTTCGAATTGTGGGAACAAATTCACGGGAGGAAAAATAATTTACCAGCGTTAATTTCATTCATTGCCCTCTTTACATGCTCATCTGGTTCAATATCGACAATGAGTGTTTGCACAATCTCATATCCATAGTGAGACATGGCCTGCAAAAGAAGATAAAGTGATGCTTAGAATTGTGGGAACAAATTAAATGACTCACCTAGACTCAACTGGTTACAGTTCAATAAAATTACCTTTTCAAGTTCATTTTCTACAGCTTTGGCAATGTCATTCTTCTGCTCAAAAGTGTCATCCAAAAGGAGTTTTGGGACACTTGCCCTAATCACTGAAGATACAAAAGCATTGTCAGCTTCCCAGTGTACTATGTTTTTTTTTTTTATAATGGTGATGATTGTATTGAAACAGAAAGACGAACAAATCAAACCGTCAACAACGGGGCAGTACAAAACAAAACAAAAAGGGAAAAAACCGGGAAAAAAAAAAACATTTTGAGCAGCAACCCCTGTAGGTTTCTGTTTGTTTTGATCGCTGCAGGGATGGCCTGATCCATCTAGCAGCAACCCCCTCCCCCTGTTTGTAGCTGTTCATTGCTTGTGAACTGCTGGGTTTTTTTTTCCCCCAGTGTACTCTGTTAGTAGTGGGGAAAATAGAAGAGAAACAAGTGGGAGCTAAAAGCAGCGTGTTGGGCACAGAGGTGTAATTGCATGCCATGAGTTATATGATCGAATGAGAATAAGAACCATCAAAAACATAGGCCTGGATTTGGCCCCTAGTGTTGCTCAGCTTGTAGAAAGCATCGTTTGCCCTCTCTGCCAGGGCGCGATATTGAATAGAAGCGACAACCGTAACAAAAACATTGTCCTGGAAAACAGAGATAATAAGACATTAATAAAGCTTCCAAATTCACCACAGTTTGGCAAAAACCAACTAAGACAATGCAATGCAAACATGTAACCTGTCATACATCTTTCCGAGATAAGTAGGGAATAAGAAACCAGGGAATAAGAATACAGAAATTGGGAAAACTTGAAAGGAGAGATTCTAAATAGATCATCAATGTAGCAAACGAGTATTGAACACAAAAAAAAAGGATTCTTGAATTTCCCTAAGCACTGCATTTGAAGTTTATAAAGTTAATAGCAACCAGCAAAGATCAGATAAGATAAACCCTGACCATCAGCAAAGACTAGTGAATGAAAACTCGGGCAATTCAATAATAGTGGCAAGTAAAAGGCAAAATGTTTGCTAAGTGCCAAGAAATATACCTTTGTCTTGGTCTCACAGCGAACATCCAGCTGCTGAACTCTCAGAGACAGATGACCAGCCAGCTGCTTCCCAAGGAACCACGGTAGACAGTGGCATCCAGGCTCCAGAACCTCATCAAACTTCCCGAATTGTTCGCTTATAGCTACTGTGGACTGATCAACTTGAACGCAGCAAAAAAGATTACCCATCTTCTCTATAATAATCACGGATCAAAGTAACCAAAACCAATGAAGTCAGTCAAAAGGGATCAATAAGAAAATTCAGACATCAGACAGTTGCCATTAAGCCTATTGCGTCCAGGCTAAACCAGAGCATGCGATCCCACGGCCTTATGTAAAGAACACGAAGATAACAAGCTTTCTACAAATCAACCCATACCCAAAAGTCTTCTAAACCACCTAGAACGAACAAATTGAACGTGCAAGCGATAGAAAGAGAGAGAAACTTACAGAGTCGACTACAGAGAAAAAGTGGAATGATGCAAAAGAGAATGATTGGCCTAACGACTAGAACAAGGTGGGATATATAGCAGACGAAGGAAAGCCCTCAAACCAACCCTGACTTTTCCTCTTCCTTTCCTTCCTGTTACTTGCAGTTCTTCTTATCGTTGACGAAGACCCTACCAATGGAGTAATAATATCTTAAACCCACCAATCTTATCAGCACAAAACAGCTACCCAAGAATGAAAAGAATCGACCTTTCCCAATCACCGATTCGATTGGATAAATAATATCCCGGAGTACCTTCGCCAATAACAGTCAACCATGAGAGAGAACCTTAAAACCTCCTCTTGAGCGTATCTCAATTGAGGCAGAAGATCAAACCCAACAAGAAACCCAATTGTTTTTGTCAAAAAAACGCGCAGATAGACTGCTACGTGATAAGTAACGCGCAAGGAAGCGAGAAATTTCCACACAGCAGGCATTGATCTGAACAAACAAGAAGATGACAACTTCCATCAAATCGCTGTCTCTCTCTCTCAGTTATGAAACCCACAATTTCACCATCACTCATCAAAGTAGACTAATACATCCAAGAAAAGAGCTAATAAGTGGCGACAATCACAAGCATATGTGGACATAAAAAAAATACCAATTGAGAGAGCTGATGATGGGGAAGGACTGATGAAGTTATTTTGGGTTTGGGTTTTTGAGATTAGTAGTTTAGGTGTTTAGTCTAATTATGGGTCTAATATATTAGTGGGTTAACATGGAGTTTATGTGAGCCATTAGTATATGGGCTAGGCTACTAGCATAATAGTTTGGTTAGGATTCTTCTCTTGGTTGCCGAGTTGTGAAGGGTTAGTAGCTAGTCTCGGCTGAAGCTAGAGTTTACGTATTAGGTTTATTTCTTATATAAATATGTAAGTTCGGCATTAGTTACGTATCCAATTAATATATCAAAGGTTCATACCGATTCATTTTCCAAAGAGCGCTCCACCTTTTTCGGATCTCAAGAATCGCGCCGCAGCTAGAGTTTCGACAGACTTTCAATGAGTGCCGCCGCCGGCACGCCGGAGGCCGGTGGGGGTGGGGGGGGGGGGGGGGGGGGGGGCTGGCCGCTACCCAAACGCTCACGGAGGAGCAACGATCCCCGTCCCAGCCTTCCAATAAGGCAAAGCCCACGACGAATGAGGGTTTTACAGGCAGTGCAGCGATGCAAGTGGACCAGACGCTTGCGGAGGAGCAACGCTCACCGCCTCAGACCTTTCATGGCTCGTCTCCTTCGGTGGAAACGGTGATGGAGTCAATAGAACCGGCCAAGGCGGAACCGACACGCTCCTACTAAGACCTGGTTACTGGAGAGAATGTTAGGGAGGAGATTGAGGACGACCTCGAAGATGAGATGGAAAGCGACGGGGAGGGGGAACCGGACTGCCCTAATATTAGAATCGACCGTGACACCAAGAAACGTCTCGGGGCTGAGTGGCGACGGGCCATAGTTGTGAAAGTGTTGGGACGTTCTTTCCCGTTCCTTTTCCTGCAACGTCGACTCCAATTCCTCTGGGCAAAGACGGGCACCATATCAGTGGCGAGTATGGGACAGGGTTTCTACTCAGTAAGATTCACGACGGAGCGGGATTATGACAGGGCTCTCTTTGTAGGCCCCTGGATGATCGAGGACCACTATATCCTCACTCGCCATTGGAAGAGAGGTTTCGATCCGGATGAAGGGGATGACGTCCTAACTAACCTGCTAGTCTGGGTGCGACTCCCTAGATTGCCCATGGACTACTACGACCCGATCATCCTACGTGACATTGGGAACTCGATAGGCAGGTACATCAAGATGGATGCTCCTACGAGGGATGCATCGCGAGGACACTATGCGCGTATCTGTGTGGAGGTGGACCTTACAAAACCCCTGATAGTGAAGTACAGGCTGGAGAAACAAAATGTGGGCCTCCATAATGTTTGCTTTGAGTGCGGCAGGTTTGGACACAATGAGGAAGTTTGTCCGACGAAAACATTGTCATCCCCTACGGCGGAGGACTTCCAGAAAACTCAATCACTTAGCTCCCAACGGAAGATTGAGGAGGAGTGCCCTGAGATATTCGAGGACTTCGGTCCTTGGATGTTGGCGACTCGGAATAGGAGGAGGAACACAGGGCGGACCCAACCAGCTACTCGTGAGGCCCGCAAGGAGGGTACTGCTTCGCCCGCCCAAACCTCTAAAGGAGGCTCTCGTTTTGCTCTACTTGAGGATCTCAATGATGAACTGATGGAACACCCGAGCACGCTAGGCGCGGTGGCCAAAGAGGGTGCTACCGAGCTTGATGTAGTGCTAGCTGACTCGACGGGCAATCCGCAGGCTGGCACTAACGACCCGATTAACGACCTGGGGGCAACCGGTGGGCCTACCGTTAAATCTCGAGGCAGCAAGGTGGCTAGCGGCTCAGGACTACATGCGGGTACAGGGTTGACGTCAGGCAATAATATAGATGGGTTGCAAACTTTGGAGAGCACGGCGGGGAAGAAGACTGAGGTGGCTACCAAGAGTGGTAAAAGCTAGGGAAATACTAAAGGGAAGTCCACGAGCAAAGCTAAGGGCACAGACAACAAGAAGGAGACCAAAAAGCAGGACAAGACCCAACAGAAGGAAAGGGGATCTCGTAAACCTCTACCTTCGACGCCCCCCCCAGTCTGGTAGGGCTAAGCAGCCTGATGAACGCAAGGGAGCAGTGAGGAGTCTTAGCCTTAATGATACTCCGGATGTGGTGGGGCTCAACCCTCGATGTGACCCGCGGCCATCAAGCATTGTCGCGGAGACGGCCGCCCATAGCAGGTCTGAGGTAGCAACGGACGTAGGCGGGGAGACGGCCATGCAGATCACGTCCCCCCCGGGCGTGCATGCATGCACGTGACTTCGTGCCTTGACTGGCTCCCAGGGAGTTCCTCGCCCCTGCACCTTTTGCTTTGTGTCTTTTTGCTTTGTTTTAGAGCTCGGTGTGCTTTTTTCATTTATTGTTATTATGTTTAAAATATTTGCTTGGAATTGTCGGGGAGCTGTCGACCCCGATTTTCTTACTACTTTCAAGGAGTTTTGCAGGAACCATAGGCCGAATATCGTGGTGATTTCAGAGCCGAAGATTAGTGGTAGCTCGGCTGCCAATATTCAGCGGAGAATGGGTTTTGACGGGAAATGGCTTCTCGGGTGGGATTTGGGTGCTGTGGAAGGCTGGGGAGTTCGAGCTTGAGGAGATTACCCGGTCGAACCAAATGCTCCACATGCGGATAAAAATTAGTAGTGGAGAGGAAGGGTGCATCACTGCTGTCTACGGAAGCCCTACCCAGAGCATACGTCGAGCACTTTGGGAGGATCTCAGGGGTTTGGCGGTGAACATGGATGTATCGTGGCTGCTTACGGGAGACTTTAACACAATGCTAGGTCCAAATGACAAGCAGGGCGCGGCGCCCTTTGTTGCGGCTCCAAGCCGGGAGTTCAGAAGTTGTGTAGATGATTGTGGTCTGATGGATATCCCTTTCTCGGGGCCTAGATTCACGTGGCAGAGGGGTAACCTGAGAGAGCGCATTGACTGGGCCCTATGCAATACCCAGTGGCTCCAAAGGTTTCCCGAAACACACACGTATCACCTGCACAAGCTAAAGTCCGACCACCGCCCGGTCTTTACGAGCTCAGAAAGGCAGCCAACCAATGGACGCTCCAGTAAGCCTTTCCGTTTCCTTGCCCCGTGGCTTTTGCACGATGACTTTCCTCGGGTTTTGCAGGATAGCTGGTCCACCAACATGGAGTTTTGTGGAGCTATTGCAGACCTGACCACGGCCCTCATCAAGTGGATCAGGGAGGTGTTCGGGAACATTATAGAGAAGAAAAGGAAGCTAACAGCCAGACTGCGGATCTTGGAGGAACAGAACGAGTTTCGGCCTTCCCAAGCCCGACTTCAGCAAGAGCTTAATGTCCGCAACGAGCTGACCGAAGTTTTGAAGCAAGATGAGTTGCTTTGGTACCAAAAGTCTAGGGAGATGTGGTTCATTGACGGGGAACGGAATACAAAATATTTCCATCTCTCCACGCTCAGACGTCGCTGCCACAACCGCATTCGGAGGCTTAGATCCGTGGACAACGACTGGATTGAAGACCCCGCGCAATTGCAAAGCTTGGTCCAGGGGTTCTTTATGGATCTTTATATGGATCCAGGGGAGGACCTATCAGCCTTAGCGGGCCACTTCCCGCAATGCAGTGACGAGGACTACGAAACTTTGGCGCAGGAGATTCAATCGAGTGAGGTAGTGTCGGCTCTAAAATCGATGGGAGCTTTCAAGGCCCCGGGAAAGGACGGATATCAGCCACTCTTCTTCCATAAATGTTGGAGCACTGTGGGGCAGAACCTGGTGTTGCTTCTATCAAACTGCTTCAGGAACCCAAAGCTGGTGGGATCTGTTAACGAGACCCTCATAGTGCTCATTCCGAAGACGGACCATCCGGAGAGAGTGTCCGAGTCTAGGCCCATCAGCCTGTGTAATGTGGTTTATAAAGCCTTCACTAAATGCCTGGCAAATTGGCTGAAACCGTTGATGAGCAAGCTTGTCGCCCCTACCCAGACAAGCTTTGTTCCTGGGAGGCATATTCAGGATAACATTATTATCCTGCAAGAGGTGGTGCATTCAATGCATTCGCGGAAAGGAGCTAAGGGGCAGATGGTGCTCAAAATTGATTTGGCCAAAGCTTATGACCGGTTGAGATGGAGCTTTGTTGAGGATACTATGAAATGTGCGGGGCTCCCGGTGGACTACGTTAGTGCAGTAATGAAGTGCGTAACAACCCCATCCATGGAGATTTTATAGGAAGGAACCTCTACGGAGAAGTTCAAGCCCACGAGAGGGATCCGTCAAGGATGCCCCTTATCTCCCTACCTTTTCACACTCTGCATTGAGCGGCTGAGCCACCTCATTGAAGAGGCGGCGAGAAACGGGCGGTGGAAGCCGATCCAGCTTATCCGAGGTGGTACGAAACTCACTCACCTGTTTTTTGCTGATGATCTTGTTCTTTTTGCAGAAGCCTCACAGGAACAGGTGGATGTTATTATGGAATGCTTGGACCTATTATGCGGTGCCTCTGGAGAGCTAGCGAGAAAAGAGAAGTCGCGCGTCTACTTCTCCAAGAATGTGAAGCGGGATCTGTGCAGAGACATCAGCAACAGGCTGGGCTTCGCGATGACACAGGACCTGGGTCGCTAGCTGGGGGTTCCCGTTCTCCATGGTCGAGTTACGAAGAAGACGTACCAGTATTTGCTCGACCGAGTGGATCAACGCTTAGCAGGTTGGAAAGGGGAGAGCTTGTCCCTCGCAGGCCGAGTCACCCTGGCTCTCTCTGTTCTTAACGCCATACCGACTTATGCTATGCAAATCTCGGTTCTTCCCGCAGCTATCTGTGATCAAATTGATAGACGCATCCGTGGCTTTATCTGGGGATCACAGCAGGGGAGACGTCGCATCCACTTGATTGACTGTGACACCATTTGTCGGCCCAAGGATCAGGGTGGTCTTGGATTGCGTAGTGCTCGGGATCTCAACACAGCATACCTCATCAAACTTGCTTGGACCATCCTTAAGAACCCAGAAGAACTCTGGGTACGTATCCTCACGGAAAAGTACCTGAAGGAGGGGTCTAACGGGGAGATCAGTGCTCGCAGGAAAACGGGATGCTCAACCCTTTGGCGAGGTATCCGTCGGGTGTGGGCATTAATGGACGGCGGTGCACGGTGGAGCATCCGAGATGTCAAGTCGACCTCCTTCTGGAACGCAGGATGGTTAGACAGCGGAGAGTGCTTGGTGGATCATGTCATTAACATTGATGACCAATTCCCGGGAGACGCGAGTGTGGCGGATATGGTTTCGTCGGAAGGTGAGTGGGATCTGGACCGCTTTGCACACTACTTACCCCGTGATTTTTTTTTTGCAGGTGGCAGGCACGCCTGTTCCTAAGGAAAATCTTGGTGAGGACGAGCTCGTGTGGGGACTGGAGCCAGAGGGGCATTTCTCCCTCAAATCCGCCTACAACCTTGTGGTGGAAATCAACAAAAGCGAGGAAACCAGCTCGTGGAGGACTGTTTGGAGGTGGCCAGGACCGATCCGTGTGCGCCATTTCCTTTGGCTTGCGGTGCACGATCGACTGTTGACAAATTCTGAGCGCGCCCGCCGCCACATTGCCACCAGCTCAGCTTGCCAACGTTGCAGAGGAGACCCGGAGACCATGGATCACGTCCTCCGCCAATGCCCTTTCGCGAAGCAAGTGTGGGCGGAGATGCTCCCCGCAGCGATCCATCCCGATGACAGCCGCGACATCAAGAACTGGTTAACAGAGTCACTCAAGTGCCCCCTAAGCCAGGTTCGTTTTGGTTTCACGTGTTGGTTCCTTTGGCGTGCACGGAATGGTTTCATTTTTTCGAACATCGTAGAAGCCCCTAACAAGTTATCGCAAAAGATCCTCGCCTGGGAGGTCGTCGCTCAGCAGAGTAAGCAAGTGGAACAAACTCTTTCACTGGGGAGGTCGGGGTCGCGTCGAGACGTGGCTGTGGGGTGGAGACCGGCCCCGACAGGGTGGATCATAGTGAACTCTGGTGGGTCGCTCTTGCGGCCCTCAGGGTCTACCGCTGCAGGAGGAGCGCTTAGAGACTGGCAGGGTCGCTTGTTAGGGGCCTATACGATGAACCTGGGGAAGTGTACCATCACCCATGCAGAGATCTGGGGGCATTGAAGGGTCTTGAGCTTGCTTGGGAAGCAGGACATCGACAAGTGGAACTCCAGCTTGATTATAGGACGGCGATGTCTCTTCTCCAGGATTCAGGACAGCACAACCACCAGCATGCCAACCTTACCTTATCGTTCCAGGCCTTGCTTCGTAGGGACTGGGATGTGCGTATCATTCACATCTATAGGGAGGCCAATTTCTTGGCCGACTGTCTTGCTCACAAGGGGCACTCTCTGACCCCGGGCTTTCACTCTATTCCTGTTTCGGACCCTGATGTTTGTCATTGGACCATGTTTGACTCTGTTGGCAGTTTTACCGTTCGTTCAATTTATGAATAAGAGGTAGTGGTGTTTGCACCCGTTTTCATAAAAAAAAAAAATATATCAAATGTTCATAGACACCAACGTCTTTCTCTCCCTTGTGAGTTACAAGCAAAACCCTTGAATCGTGGGTTACGGTTCATCACCCCTTCCACTAATATGCATGTCCAATACTACGTGTAAGCTCCCATGACCCGACGTGTCTTCCTTCAACAGTTACAGAAGCAAATAAACTGAGGAGTTGTCGGGACTACATGTTGCAGGAAGCTCAACGCAAAGGTGGCGGATGAAGAGGCAATCGAGACCTCCGCGACCAACAGTAGGAGCCCTTCACCATGTGTTGCGGCACGCTGAGGCAAATGATTGGCGGCTGTGGGCTAGATGATGGAAGACCAACGCAGCCAGATAATGGGGGTGATGGGAAAGGGTTCGCTAAAATTGGCAGCGATCAGGTGGTTCGCTGACCAGTTCAGCGATTCACACTCATTTGTGGTTGTTCGCTCTTCTGTCCCGCGATTTAATTTAGATCACTCTTGTTATCAGCTATATCAATAGTGGTTCGCTTGACATATCAACGAATCATTCCAAACTTGGGTATTTTGGAAATTATATATTATATATGGGTTAATTGCATGGTTGGTCACTGAGATTACAAAAAAAACGTTCAAGTTTGGTCACTCGAAATATTTAAATCAATTGGTGGTACTTTATTCTATTGAAACCGTTCACATTTGGTCACTCTCCGTCCAACTCCGTTAACTTTTGCTTATGTGGCGGTCAACTCTAAAAGTTGACCAAATGTGTGACGTGACAATTTAAAAATAATAAAATTAGATTTTTCAAAATTGTCATATCATTTCCACCTCATTATCACTTTTATTTAAAATAAATAAAAACATCCTAATTTCTTCTAATCCTAATATCAATACCCCACCCTTTCTCAGGCGACAGATTTAATTTTTTTACTTTTCTTGTTCCATCTGGCCGGACTCCTCTGATCCGTAGCCACCGCCACCGGGTTCTGACATAACGGGCCTATGGCTCAACACATACCCTCTCGGTCACAACCTAATCTTCGATTACTGTGCACTCTCCCCATTTCGCGACTGTAACTGCAACAACGAGCCGCTCCCAAGTCTGGCAATTCACCCTCTCGATATCTCCCACCTCTCGTAAATGCCTCAGAACTTTCCATCTTCCCGAATTCCAATTCCCCGTTTTGAAGCTGTTGTTTCTGGTTCTGTGTTGCAGTACATTGTTGAGCGAAGTGATGGAACCAGGGGCGGAGCTACTCAGAGAGTAGGGTGGGCCCCGACCCACCCGGGAATAGTCTCGGCCCCTAAGATCGTAAGAATATTTAGATAAAATTTGGATATGTAGTGCTCGACCTATACATTATGTCATATGAAAATCATGTAGTCTATTGGTAGCTAAACTAAACTTTTAGCCTAAAGCAAACAGGTTTGATCCACATTTTTGCTTTAACTTCTTTTTGGACTTTATTATCTTAATTCTCCTCAACCTCATTTTTGCTTTAACTTCTTTTTGAACTTTATTATCTTAATTCTCCTCCATAAGGTCCTGGACCAAAGCAAACGGATACCCACTCTTTTTCATTCTTTTTGTTACTTTAATCGAGCTACAAATGAAAAAAATCAACCTCTATTTAGTTCACTTGAGATTTTAGCTCTTTATACAAACTATATGGTCTACTTTTTTATCTATGTCGGAATGAACAAAAAGATTAGCGTCAAAGGAATTTTATTTTGTTGATAGGTTGATTTGTCTTCTTCTAACTCTTCTAAATTTCTAAAGCTACATGAGATCGTGCATGTGTTCAGGTATAAAGATAGTGAAGAATAGATTGTGAAACAAAATAAATGATGAGTTTCTTGTTAATGATTTAGTTATTTATATTGAAAGAAAGATAGCTAAAATTTTAGTTCAGATGCTATTTTTAGAGGTTTAAATGATCTCAAAGAACGTTGTAGACTTTAAGCTAATTATTTTATTTTTATATGCTATTTTGAAAGATTTCAATGATCTCAAAGAACGTTGTAGATTTTAAAACTAATTATTTTATTTTTAGTTACATTTATTTATTTTCGGCCCACCCGGTCTCGAAATCCTGGCTCCGCCCCTGATGGAACCCATATGTTTGTGATGAGGAAGCAGCGGAGGGAGAGTCCTGCGGAAGTCACTCCATTGCTGACTATTACGTCTTGGATGGCTCCATTTACCACCAGGGTTCCAGTACTGGCTGCTAATAATGGTTTGCAGGGGCGGGCTTTGTATTGCATATCCAAAGCTTTTACTACTGCAGCTTCCAAGTTGGAGAAGATTGGTTGGAGATATTCGAACTCTCGCGGGTAAATAATTTGCTCTGTTCTTGGCTGTGATCGTTGACAAGAGTATTCAATATTCATCTTGTAATCTGGACTTCTAATAAGATTAGTTGGAGATATAATTAGTCACTAACTTGAGTTAATCAGATCACTTTGAAATTGCAACCCTCTTGCAAGTTTGTCAAACCGGTTTAACCCATAACTGATGAAACTAGTGGGTGGCCAAAGGGTGGGGGTATTGATATGGGGGATTAGAAGAAATTAGGATTTTATTTATTTATTTTAAATAAAAGTGACAATGAGTTGGAAATAATATGACAATTTTGAAAAATTTAATTTGATCATTTTTATTATTTTTAAATTGCCACGTCACACATTTAGCGGTCAACTTTTAAAGTTGACTGCCACATAAGCAAAAGTTAACGGAGTTGGACGGAGAGTGATCCAACGTGAATGGTTTCAATAAACTAAAGTACCACCAATGGATTTAAATATTTAGAGTGACCAAATTTGAACGCTTTTAGTAATCTCAGTGACCAACCATGCAATTAACCATATTATATATATTAACTCGAGAGAGATAAGGCCAAGACTATTTCGGGAGATATTTGCGAGGGCCCCACCGACAAAGATAAGTCCTCATTTTGAGTATAGTAATGAATCGGCTCAAGATAGGGTGCATTATGCACCCATCAATAACCAAATCTCGACCCTTTATTTAGAAAATTCAGACCTAATGAAGGAGAATTAAAGACCATTTTTATTTTTTCTAGCTTTCTTAATTGACTCACATCTTTTTCGGTTTAACTCGCATTTTAATTTTTTTTGCACAGATGGAACGAGTTCATCGTGCTCTACAAAATGGGATCAATTTTCAATATTTTTTGAGAAAAAAAAATTCTGGCCTCTCGCTGCATATCATATGGTATCTTCTTCGTTTTTAATTTGTTTTTGAAAAAGTTTGCACATAAGGGACGAGTTCATCATGATCTATTGGATCTACAAATTTCTGGGTGAACAAATTACAGGACCAAAAAATACCACACAATACCATACAATACCACCCTGGTATTGTATGGTATCTTCTTCGTTTTTAATTCGTTTTTGAAAACGTTTGCACAGAAGGGACGAGTTCATCATGATCTATTGGATCTACAAATTTCTGGTGAACAAATTACATGACCAAAAAATACCACACAATACCATACAATACCACCTTGGTACGGGGTGGTATTGTGTGGTGTACAATGTTAAAAGTCGTAAATGACAATTAATATGGTATGTATTTAACCATCCTACAGTCTTGGTTTGTTCATACCATCATGGTACGTTTTTTAAACCATAGGTATGCTTTTATTTCAATACCAGTCAATACCATATGGTATAGACTGGTAAAAAATGGCTCAATTTTTTTTTGTTCGAAAAATATATTAAAGTGGATATCATTTTGAAGAGATTAATCTGATCTAACTGTGCAAAAAAAATTAAATTTCGACTTAAAATGAGTGAGAAATCGTCCGTCAAAGATTAAAGAGTGGAAAATTAAAGGCTTTTTAGGAGAGAGAAGATGCTGATGTCATGCTGATGTGGACGGGTTACTCATAATTACTCACCATAAGGTTACTGACCTGATCCATTCCCTAATGAATCGGCCCATGTCCTCTCTAACTAAGGAGCCCCAGAAATTTGGGAAACCAGACCTCCAGTTTTTCTCCTAAGCACTTTGGCTAAGGAGAACATTTTTATTTAATAATTCCATATGCAGTAGGATTATAAAAAAAATAAAAGAAAAAAGCAAGGGTATACCCGGAACTGGAGGTCAATTGGAGAAATTGTCAATATGATGATTTGACATAATGTATTCAAACAATCAATAACGACCATGGTTGTCACGCCGGTCGGCATGTCACTGGTTGTACCACGTTCAATCGATACTGGTCATAAAACCGGCGTGACACCACCGGTATGACCGACATGATCGATATACGAATCTCTAAGTAAAATGACTTTATTTTAGAGAATTTAATTGATAAAAATTATTTTATTATTTATTTTATGAGTATAAAAGTTAAATATTGATGTTATTTGTTGGATTCAAGTATAAAGGCTTAGATATTGACGTTAAATGTCATGTTTAAATATATGAGTATTTATAATTTTATTTGTAATATTGACCGGCATGAACCGGCACAAACTGGTATGTACCACCGGTTGAACCATTCAACTTGCTAAACCGGCACACTGGCATAAACCGATTTGACAACCTTGATAACGAAAAACTATCACATTGAAACAAAGAGAGCTGAAGTTTCAGTGCGATAACCTATATTAAGTTAGCGTGTTTCACTAGATGAATCACAGATTTTTCAAAGTATTACTATTCCTGAGGGCAGGAGGTCAGGAGGAAGGGTGTAGTAAGCTATGAAATGCTTCAACGAGCTGGAAATAAGCGTGGATCCAAAAATTTCTGAATACGACAACTTTTCAAACTGCTGTTGAATCCATGGACAGGCAAGCTCCAATAGGGCAAAAGACCCCAAATGCCACAAAGCAAATATATCCTCATTCTCAAATCAACAAAATACAGCGCAGGAATTAACAATCATTACCCATTCACAAACCCTAAAATCCCAACAGAGACATTCGAACTAATTCTCAAACCCAGCTTGTACTTCTGTATATATATGCTATACAGGTAATAAGCAGAAGACCTCAAATCTGTTGCGAAAAGAAAAAAGCACCATAGCCTAAGCCAACTATTTGCATCCATAACCGTATTGTTCAAAGCAAGAGAGAAAACCACAACCACGAATAGGCATCGGAGGTTTTTGTCAAATTAATGAGCATTATTGGCTTGGAGAAGACCCTCGCGAATCTGAGAAGCAACATCACGAACTGCACCAGGTCCATGGGGAATGAAGATAGCTGAGGATTTGGAGGCAGCACCAATTTCCTTCATGGTGTCAAAGTACTGTGTCACCAAGACCATGTCCATGACATCTTTGGCAGATGTACCCGGCACATTCTCAGAGAAGCCAATCACACTGTCCCTTAATCCATCCACAATTGCTTGCCTCTGGCGAGCGATACCCAACCCAGAGAGATACTTCGATTCAGCCTCACCTTCAGCTCGTTTGATCTGCAGAATCTTTTCAGCCTCTGCCTTCTCAGTAGCTGCCAGCCTCATTCTTGCAGCTAAAATGCAAGAAAAGGAAGGGCAATCAGAAGCGTACTACTAATGAAACAAAGTAAAATGATTACACACGAGGAAAAAATAATTTACCAGCATTAATTTCATTCATTGCCCTCTTTACATGCTCATCTGGTTCGATATCGACAATGAGTGTTTGCACAATCTCATATCCATAGTGAGACATAGCCTGCAAAAGAAGATTAGATTGAGGCTTAGAATTGTGGGAACAAATTCAATGAGTCGTCTACATGGCTAGACTCAACCGGTTAAAGTTCAATGAAAATTACCTTTTCAAGTTCATCCTCGACAGCTTTGGCAATGTCATTCTTCTGCTCAAAAGTGTCATCCAAAAGGAGTTTTGGGACACTTGCCCTAATCACTGAAGATACAAAAGCATTGTCAGCTTCCCAGTGTACTATGTTAGTAGTGGAAAAAATAGAAGAGAAACAAGTGGGAGCTAAAAGCAGCGTGTTGGGCACAGAGGTGTAATTGCATGCCATGAGTTATATGATTGAATGAGAATACGTACCATCAAAAACATAGGCCTGGATTTGGCCCCTGGTGTTGCTAAGCTTGTAGAAAGCATCGTTTGCCCTCTCTGCCAGGGCACGATATTGAATAGAAGCGACAACCGTAACAAAAACATTGTCCTGGAGAAATAAGGATAATCAGACATTACTAGAGCTTGCAAATTAACTGTTCACCACAATATGGCAAACCAACTAAGACAATCAATGCAAACATGTAACTTCATACATCTTTCAGAGAAAACTAGGAAACAAGAATACAGAAATTGGGAGCATATGAAAGGAGAAAGATTAAAAACAGATCATCAACACGGCAAACAAGTTTTGAACACAACAAAAGGATTCTTGAATTCTCCTAAGAACTGCATTTGAAGTTTATAAAGTTAATAGAAACCAGCAAATATCAGATAAGATACACTAACCATCAGCAAAGACTAGTGAAGGAAAACTCAAGCAATTCAACAACAGTTGCAATCAAAAAGGCAAAATGTTTGCAAGTGCCAAGAAATGTACCTTTGTCTTGGTCTCACAACGAACATCCAGCTGCTGAACTCTCAGAGACAGATGACCAGCCAGCTGCTTACCAAGGAACCACGGCAGACAGTGGCATCCAGGCTCCAGAACCTCATCAAACTTCCCGAATTGTTCCCTTATAGCTACAGTGGACTGATCAACTTGCACGCAGCAAAAAAGATTACCCATCTTCTCTACAATAATCACGGATCAAATTAACCAAAACCAATGAAGTCAGTCAAAAGGGATCAAGAAGAAAATTCGGACATCAGACATTCGCCATTAAGCCTATTGCATCCAGGCTAAACCAGAGCATGCGATCCAACGGCCATATGCAAAGAACACAAACTTAACAAGCTTTCTACCAATGAACCAATACCCAGAAGTCTTCTAAACCACCTAGAACGAACAATTGAACGTGCAGACGATAGAAAGAGAGAGAAACTTACAGAGTCGACTACAGAGAAAAGTGGAATGATGCAAAAGAGAATGATTGGCCTAACGACTAAAACAAGGTGGGATATATAGCAGACGAATGAAAGCCCTCAAACCAACCCTGACTTTTCCTCTTCCTTCCCTTCTAATCGTTGACGAAGACCCTATTTATATCCCACCAATGGAGTAATAATATCTTAAACCTACCACTTATCTGAGCTGTAGTACCCACCAATCTTATCAGCACAAAACAGCTACCCAAGAATGAAAAGAATCGACCTTTCCCGATCACCGATTCGATTGGATAAATAATATCCCGGAGTACCTTCGCCAATAACAGTCAACCATGAGAGAGAACCTTAAAACCTCCTCTTGAGCGCATCTCAATTGAGGCAGAAGATCAAACCCAACAAGAAACCCAATTGTTTTTGTCAAAAAAAAAAAAAAACGCGCAGATAGACTGCTACGTGATAAGTAACGCGCAAGGAAGCGAGAAATTTCCACACAGCAGGCATTGATCTGAACAAACAAGAAGATGACAGCTTCCATCAAATCGCTCTCTCTCTCTCTCTCTCTCTCTCTCTCTCTCAGAGAGGAAACCCGCAATTTCACCATCACTCATCAAAGTAGACTAATACATCCAAGAAAAGAGCTAATAAGTGGCGACAATCACAAGCATATGTGGACATAAAAAAATACCAATTGAGAGAGAGCTGACCGAGAAAAAACACAAGAAAAAGGGTCGACGTGGGATCGAGGGAACCGGAAGAGATAGAGAAACAAGAAATCCGAAAAGAATTTCGCGAAGCGGAAAAACCCTAGTGAGTAAAGAAGGAAAGAACTTCGGCTTCACCTTTGGTTTCGACTGCGACGTTGAGCTCTGGTTTGTTTCGGCAATTGGCGATATTTCGGCTGCCTGCCCTGTGTTTTGGCTCTGTCTAAATAACCGTTTGCGCGGAATATAAAAAAAAAAATATTAACTCGAGAGAGAGATAAGGCCAAGGGCTATTTCGGGAGATATTTGCGTGGGCCCCACCGACAAAGATAAATCCTCGTTTTAAGTATAGTATTCTATTTACTACCTCTAATTAATTACTTCCCATTATTGGTCCTTTTCTATTTTCTGTTTGTGTCTATCTCAAATTACGTCATAAAGCTACTTTGTAATGGCAATTTCTAATCTCCACGTAATGTTTCTTCGGCAGGAAGTTACAACTCATAAATACAAGAAATTGCGTGGTAGTTACAAATAAAAGATGGTGGCATAATTGCAACTACCAAGTCCTATAGATAAATTTGAACATTCTGATAGTACGGAACAATTGATGGGTATTTGTTTTGAGTCATTTGATGCCAAATGACTTTTTTGTCAACGAAAAGCAAATTAGATATTTGTAAAGGACTGTCCCTAGTCAAAATGGTGACATTATGAGAAACATATTAGATGTTAAGACAAATTGGGGTTATATACAAATGACTCATTGAAAAATGACTAATTTAAATTTTTTTGTAACAACCATTACATTTGAAAATGTCAATATTATCAAATATCTACATTTTGTCAAAATATTTACGTTTACAAATACACCAAGCAAATGAAGTCATAGTGTCATCTTACTCTCTTTGGCCACACCCCCAACCACCCTCGAAGGAATAGATACTTCTAAAAGATCTTTTTATGTTGTGTCTAATCTCGAAACGGTTTGACAAGTTTTTTTTACAGTGGACTTATGGGTGGAAAGTGGTCAATGAGTGGGTTGGGTGGATTATGGTTATAAATTGACTCACGCGCTTTTTAACAACATGATACAATTGTGACCTACAATCCAGCCACATTTTTTATTTGGGTTGAGTGGGTGGTGGGTGGATGTGGTTGGGTTATGGGTAACCGACAAAGCAATTTGACGACTATCCATTATGTGCGAACAAGAGTTTGATCCAATGGTATTATCACTGATCTTCAACCTAGAGCCTAGAGGTCTCAGATTCGAATCCATTAAGTAACACGTATCACTAAAAAAACACATGCCACCCTCATTTGGGTGACAAGCAACCCACCCACAACAAATTATTATTATTGACTGTCACAAACTTTTGCACTTAGTACAAAACAATCATAAACTTTTAAGTTTAAAAGACTCATAATAAATGTTTGAGCATACAACAAAATGGTCATTTCGTCATTCTACATTCATAACTACGTTAATTTGGTCTAATCAGCACTCCATGCCATCAAAAAATTTAATAAAATATCCATTAAATTTAGCAACCCGAACCACCCAATGGACACAATGGTCAATTCTTGCTAGCTCATAAAAAAATGGTCAAACAACAATTCACTTCGAAAATAAAATGGTCACAATGCATTTAATTGAGTGACAAAATGAGTAGGCGTGTTCAAACGAATTGTTATCGTGGTAACCATATTAACCGGTAGCATTCGGTTAATTTGGTTTGGTTAATTTGGATAATTGGTCTTGTTTGGTTAAACAATTTAGCTTATTTGGGTTAGCTGGTTTGGTTTGGCTTCAACACTGCTAACCAATAAAACCAATTAACCAATTAATGATACACCTAATATACAAAATTATTTATACTTCCATGTAAGCAACCAAACCAAACTTTCATGATTCCATATTTTATTTCCATGTGCACAACAAACCAAAGCATTATGGGTAAAAAAATTGAATGGGGTCTGCCTATTTACTAAACCAAAACATTTTGGACAATTACTAGACTTTAGGATTACGTACAATACCATGACAGCCACCTCAAACTATGTATAGTTAAAGTGTTTTGTAGGAGATCTTTAACTTTCTGATGAGTAGTATTTGTATGTATTTAATATTTATGTTAAGGGTTTGTTGTAAGCTAACTATATTAGGTGCAGAGATGATGAATGATGTATTAACTCCAATGATGATGATAATCATGGATGGTTAGTCTTATTATTATTATTGCTTAGATATAATGATAGTTTATGACAGTAATAACATATGGTTATGTTTTATTCATTAATAGGATAATTATTTTCATGTAATGTTATGTTATTTGGTTAATCCGATTATCCGATTAACCAAACCAAAGTTGGTTTGGTTAATTTGGTTTTCATGTTAATTTGGACGATTTGGTTAAGACATTTTATTCCATAGTTAATCAAATTTAGACTTAATTGGTTTGATTATTACCATAGTAACCATTTGAACACCCCTAAAAATAGCACAACGAATTTTCATTTTGTAACAAAATGGTCCCAGTTCGAAGGGGTTGGGGCAAGCCTAGCCACGAAGGCCAAGTACCAATAGCATATATAGACTTCGTTTTTGTAGAATTTTGATTGCATTTGAACATATTCTACGATAGAGGTAGTTGTAGGTCTAATGCTGATCCCACTGATAATCCAACTTTATATCAAAATATAGTTGTATGATGTTCTGTTACAAAACGAAAATCATGCATTGTGCTCATTTTGTTACACTTAAATGCGTTATCACCAATTTGTTTATCAACTAGAAAGTTTTGTGACCATTGTGGTACACGTTTCAAAACTATTATGTTCATCGGGTAGGTTGGGTTGTTATATTAAGTGAATTTTTATTAATAAGTTTTGTGAGATGGAGTACTGAGTGGACCAAATTTACAGAGTTTTTGGATGGAGAACGACAAAATAACGATTTGTTTTACGACTAAAATGTTTATCGAATCATACAAAATTAAAAATTTGTGACCGTTTTGTCTAAAAGATTGTGATGGTTTATGCTAATTACTCCACCCACTACTCACACGAATTAGTGCAAGTATAAATTTTTTGATCCACAGTATCATCAATCACTCACATACAGTGAGTTGAGTTATTTACGGATAGATCAATATTAAATCGCGAATTAAGCAAGACACTAGTTTTGAGTTTTGACAACCTTGTAGAGAAAGAAGGCAATGTGTGGAACTAGACTACGAGAGGATGAAGATAAGCCACTAGGGAAGGGATGAATTCCATTGGTGGAAGTTATTCCAGCCCACTCAAAAGAAATCTAGAAAACCAGAAGAAAGATTTGCAGCCCACAGTCCGACGTGGCATTTTCCTCACCGCCTGGCCAAAAAGAACTCCACCAATCGGTAAAACCTTGTTCTTCCTCTCCGAGAAACCAAACTCTTCCTCCGTAATTCTTCATCCACCATCAATGGCGGCAGTGACTGCACCACCATCTTCCGCCGCTTATTTCCGAGGAAGCAAGCCAACCGAACAATTCTTATCCATATCATCCACCAAGCTCCGCTCCCCTCACCAGTCATGCTCCAACAGAAGATCCCTCTCAATCGTCGCCATGGCACCGCAGAAGAAGGTAAACCCAGTACCAAATTTCACTTTCCGCTCTCCATAAAATTTCAATTCAATGCTCGGGCGCCGGCAGAATTTCAATTTTTGTTAAGAAACCCAAACAAATTACTGGTTGGAAGCAGGTGAACAAGATCGACGGCGGGTGGAAGAAGCAGTGGTACGGCGCCGGGATATTCTACGAGAGCGGCGAGGAGCTGGAGGTGGACGTGTTCAAGAAGCTGGAGAAGCGAAAAGTCCTGAGCAACGTCGAGAAGGCCGGCCTGCTCTCCAAGGCCGAGGAGCTAGGAGTCACGCTGTCGTCGATCGAGAAGCTGGGGTTGTTCTCCAAAGCAGAGGAGCTGGGGCTGCTCAGCCTGTTGGAGAAGGTAGCCACCGTTTCGCCGGCCGCACTCGCGTCCGCTGCGCTGCCGGCGGCTGTTGCGGCGCTTGCGGCGGTGGTGATAATACCCGATGATTCGGCCGGTCTGGTGGCCGTCCAAGCTGTGGTCGCCGGGACACTGGGAGTCGGCGCCGCTGGGCTGTTTGTGGGGTCGATTTTGCTCGAAGGATTGCAGGAAGCTGATTGAAATTTGCAAAATTTTAGTGTTTGTGTTATTCGTTGGAGATTTAATTTGTCGGTTTTGTATCGTACGAATAATTTGAATTGTGAATGGAACGATTGGTAAAAAATAGAACCAGAAAGATCGGAATCGCTCCGTACGACGGCGAACCTGCCGGTGAGGTAGGGAAAAAAACTAAGAAAAATAAATGGAGATGCGGGGTATCGATCCCCGTACCTCTCGCATGCTAAGCGAGCGCTCTACCATCTGAGCTACATCCCCATTGTTGTTCTAGGTTATTGAAAAATTTTATTTGATAAAAGGTACTTCTGCACCACTGGGTAGGTGGCTGGCAGCCCTCTTGATTCTCGAGAAGAACTGAACAGAGGAGATGTTGCTGCTTACCAACAAAGACTTCAGCTTCCGGCTAAAACTAGGACGATGACATTACCCGCCGCAGCCCCAATATGTAAGTAAGATTTACCATGGGACTGGCGCGAAGTTCCAATTGATTACCTTTCTCCTTATAGAGCTTAGCACAGCTTTGTCACTTTTTTGGCTTGTTGGCAAGTCTCCGTATAAGGGTTTTCGATTATTTGTTTCCTGTTCATTTCTGGAGGTGTTAAATTGGTAATGCCTTTACTTGATATCAAAATTGTGAGTGGTAGTTTACTAGTTTGTCTTTCCCTTCTTGCAGTAGTCACGTAGTTGATGACTTGGGTTTTGGAATGGGATTTGTTTCTTTGGTCGTAAAGCAAAATCCAGAACCAAAAATAGCACTGAAGTGAAAAGCTTTATTGTATCAGAATCTCATACGTTTCGGTACAGGATGGAAACAGAATGCTCACTAGGTACTACTCAGGATCAAGAATTATGGCAAGCTAGCTAGTATACATATCTTCACATGACGGTGAAGTTGATTCAGAAGATAAAGATGCTGATATTTGGTGAGTAGGGTTATCTGCTTACTCCGCTGATTCAGCCTCAGTTGATTTGTACTGGTAGCGGCGTGCCCAAAACAGATAGTGCAGGAAGTTGATTCCACTCAACACACACATCAACCAGTAAAACCTCTCCAGGTGATACTCATTCAAGTTTCCACCTTTGAGCCAAGGAGTTTGTCGATAGGCACCCGTGATGCTATTTACTAGCGCAACGATCACAGAACTTAGATAGTATCCCATCGCCAGTGAGGCCCAAGACAGTGATGTGGCCAATGACCTCATGCTGAATGGGGCTTCCGAGAAGAAGAAGTCCATCATTCCGGCCAAGGTGAAGAGATCTGCTGATCCAAGGAACACATACTGCAATGCTATCCAAAGGAATGTCATGGGCAGAGGTTCAACAGAAGCATTTAGCAATCCAGATTCTGCTGCAGCCCTCTTTCGCTTGCTCTCCACAATGGCTGCCACCATCATTGCTATGATCGAAAGTACCAATCCTGTCCCTATTCTTTGCAAATGAGTGATTCCCATTTCGGATTTTGTAATCCTCCTCGCAAAAGGTATGATGATGTGGTTGTAGACTGGTGCCAGGATCATAATGAAGATGACTGGGAAAATGGGGAGTGAGGCTGGTGGGACTTTGAATGAACCTAGTTTGGTGTTCATTGTTGCTGCTTGTTGCACAGAGAAGGTAGATAGCTGGGCAAGACAGCAATTTAACATTATGGTAGACATGAAGATCGGGAGTATCCTCACCACAATCTTTACCTCTTCTACCTCATTGGTTTTACATTGGAGCATCCCGATGGCAGTATTCTCGTTACTTGTTGCTCCGTTGAGGAAGTCAAGGCTTTCAGTTACAGATGTCTTGTTTGGAGTCTTGCTTTTGTCGGTTCTCTCTTCTCCTTCTCTGGTGGTAGTTGTGGTATCACAGGAGCTCGTCTCCATTCCCATGATAGCATTGCTAGGACTCCTAGATTTGCTGGCATTGTAAATTGCTGCAGCTAGAACCTATAGGAACATAGAAGATGGATAATTTAGTGACTCGTGGAGCTTTATGCTTTACTTTTTACTATTATGATGCTGCCTTTTAGAATAATAAGTGGTACCTTGAAAAGGGTTGTGATGGGACTGCCTGTTGGAACTTTGGTCCTATAAGTTGGGGAGCCAAGGATGAAGACAGGTATTGATAGGAGTATTGCAGCAGTAGCAGTTCCCAAACCCCATTGCCAACCTTTGTTGTCTTCAATCCAAACAACAAATGTAACTGCAATCAGAGCTCCACAAGAGAGGCAGAACACATAGTAATTGAAGAATGCTGATCTCTGCTTTCTTCCTAACTGCGTGGTTTCATCGAATTGCTCTGCACCATGTGGAGGAAGCGAACCTTTGATCCCTCCAACACCTAGTGCCACCAAATAGAGGCCTGCGAAGAATATTGCTGCTTTCTCACCGTTCGCTTCTTCACATAGGATGCTAGTTTTGGTGACACATGGAGGTGGTTTCAGTGAGGTGATACCAGCTTGGACTGTAAGTACTGACAACCCCTGGTTCGTAGAAAGCAAATTGAATAGATTAGTTACAGTCTAGAGCCTTTGATATCTGTTGTTCCTGTCAAAACCTGATGTCTGGTATGTAGGTCAATGCAACTGTGAATTTTCTCGGCTAAAAATGTCAAGCAGCAGCTTACCAGAAGGCATTTTCATTTGCAAGTGGGCCATACTAAATTAGAGCTGTGGGACCAACTACCTTGGTTGTGGATTGAATATTTCTGGTACATTTCATCATCTTTCTATTTATTTCTTGGATTTTCAATGCCCTGGCTGGTTAGGAACTCAAGTTCTTGTAAAGACAAATGAATTTGCAATTGGCGCATTTCTTATGATTTCGGGTCCTCTCGTGGGCCATCCTTCTTGTTAGACAATTCATAGATGCTAGAGGTGAGATTTATGATATTCTGGTCCATATCTTAGTACTCTTGCAATTATCTTGAAAAGCTATTCCCTCTGTCTTTTCATGTAGCTACATAAGGTTAATGTCTCTAGCAATTTGGCTGGTTGTTGCTAGTTTTAGTAGCTTAAGTTAATTCTCATCCTAGTATTAATGTCCAACCCCTAGGATGCAAATGTTTACCAAGAAAAAGGAGCTGCTTTTCGTAGTGTAATCAATCATTGACCAGAGAAGAAGGCGTCAAACAAGAGCACTGTAACATAAATAAGTCAGTAACTTACTATGAATTCGATTACGGCGCTTATCAAATAGATGCAGTAGGTGTTGAGATATGCATCTGCTAGAAAACCGCCAACCAGAGCCAGGAGGAAGGATGTCCCCATGAAATTAGTAACAATATTTGCTGAGCCAGATGGAGAGAAATGCAGGAACTTTGATAGGTAGAGCACAAGGTTGCTTGCATTAGCCAGGAATGCTAGATTTTCTAGTACCTCCACAACTGTTGTTGTTTCATGATTAGAGAGAAGAATTAGTTCAGCAGATGTTAGAGGTACATCATGTCAAATTAAGTTATTGGTAACATTAAGAAGCGCTTATAGCTGTACTTACCCAAGACAAAGGTGGCTGCTAGCATTCCACCATGACGGCCTCTCACAGCAGGCTTGTTCCTCCAGTTTACATAGCCTTCCCACATATTCAAATTTTGTGCTTCATCCTGTAAATGGAACATATTATAAAGGATACAAGTAAAGACCAGAGACTTTGGAACAAGAGCTCGAAAGAAGCCTTACCATCTCTGTCTCCACAGACTACTCCTGATGTACTCGGTGTCTAATTATAGGATCTCTAGCTTCTAGATTCTGATTGAACTATGTTTTTGAGCTGGTGAGGAATCATTTGGCTCATATATATATAGGGGCAGGCATGGTGGTCCTTCCAACTCATAGAGAAAGGTCTAGATGGACATGAAAGAGACAATATATTCTCTCTGATATGGTGGATGCTGACTTTTTCTACAGGGACAAAGGACGGTTTTATATGGATTGCTTAGCTACTACCACACCCCCAATGAAGAAGTGAACGATAAAGTACTCGGACACATCTTCAGAAAGAAGGTACACCAAAACTAACCCTTCCATTGATATCCACCTTAAAAGTTGTTAAATATAAAAAATTGGTAAATATAGTGGCTTATTGCAGTTAGGTGGCTATCTTTAGCCTTAATGGGGAGCAATGATATAGAATACCAATAAGATTAGTGGTCTCTGGAGTTCTCTATGCTGACTTGGAGACTATTTTCTAGATACTGTTTCAATGATGCTACCTTGAATAAGCAGATCTCTTATGACTAATCTAAATAATTTATATGGATCCGGACTTGACAAACAAATGATTGATATAGTTATTGTTAAATATTATACTTTGCTGGTATAATGTTGTCTTTGAAGCCAAAGTTAAATGCTGGGGCTGTTTGTTTGGAATTAAGCATTCAACTTTTATAGTTTAGATAATGTATTTTAGTTCTCTAGGGCTGGTCTAGGTTGTTTGCTATGTATTTGTCTGAACCTGTAAGGTGATACTTTAATCTGAAATGAGGCGATTCCTTGTTTACCTACAACGCCACTATGTATGGTTGGTTAATATAGGACTCTCAACTAGTTTACATACATAGTTCTTTTAAACTCTGCTTTAAACAACTTATTCGAGGCTTTAGTCCAAACTAAATGCTGCATTAGCTATTCAATTAGGGTCCAAAATAACAATCATACCACTTTTCACATGATCTCATGGTGTGGTAACACCACTCTGTGGCTAATGTTAATCACAATGTATTTGTGGTTTCTCTAGTTATTTTTCTGGTATTTCCATTAGGTATATGTGTGTTTTTGTTAAATGCAATTATCATGTATCACTGAGGAACTGCCCAAATTGGGAAGATTTAGCTGTAAAGAAGAATTTCTATTTTCAGTACTTTGCATAAGAAAAGGGCAAATTAAGCCTTTCTATGTTGTCTTGTTCTATTGGTTGTCTTTCCTTATTCCTGGTGCTTGTGGTGTTTTCACCCAACTTGGACTGGAACTTATTCCTACCACTGGAAACTAGAATCATCAGTTAGCGTCTCTTCTTTTTTGTTCTTTTTAAAATTTATTACTGGAGTCATCTTAGTTAGTGGAGTGGCCTCATTCATCATATCAGGTCTTCTTTCTGGGCCACCAGTAAAATTTTGTTCCCCACATCATATGACTGTGTGGATCATATTCTCCTGGAAACCCATGGATGCATAATCAGAGAGATCTCCAACTTGGGTGGTTAGGAGACGATGACAGGATGGGTCCCTTTCATGCTAGGAGGATTAGCTCTTTATCTCTGCCACCAAATATTTAGTTCCCCGCTTCACTCATTTTCTAGATTGAGGAACCGGATGAAGATAGATCCTCTGTAGCTGAAAACTATCATTTGCTTTCCTAACCAGGCAGTGAGAAAGGTTTAAGTTATTAATAAACCAAGATCAAGGGGTTGGCCACTTTTGTCTTCTCATAGAGTATGCCAAGAGCAGTACTTGTGAAAGATTACATAGATATTAGGAGAATAAGACTTGGTTTCTATCCTAGAAATTGCTACGGGACTATAAAGCCACCAATTTAAGAAGGCTGAACTGTTTAATTTGCTTCATGAACTAAAGTGGAGGAGATGCTAATCTAAACTGTGGAATTCACAAAATTTGCTTCTTCTTGTCCTGGAATGTTATGAATGGTGATGGAATCTTTTGTATGCTAAGATTCTAGTATATTTAAGAATCTTTGTCGAAGAGCGCCGAAAGGGTTGCTTAATTAAGATGAATAGGATATACTTGTTAGTATCAATGAGCACAGCTTCAAGCCCTAGAGTAGATCAATGCTCTATTAGTATTCGTTAGAATAAAGTACAGTGACGAGAAGAAGGAAAAAAAAAAAAAAAGAATTAGTACTTCTAGAGGTCGAAAGGACCTGATACATCTTTACAGCTCTTGAAATATATACATTTGGCTACTACTGCAGTGTCAATCACTTGCACAGATGCTTACAATTGACGAATTTTTCTCTTGCCTTTTGTCTGATTCCTCCTCTGCTAAAGGACTACTTTTACCTCTTTCACTTTGCAACATCCAGGATGTTCTTTGGGTAACCAATTGCCTTGTGTGTTTTCTCTGCTTGCCTGGCCCTCCTTTTCATTCTCCGACTTCACAAGATTGAGATCAATAGAGCTGTCAATATCGGTATTAGACTATTAGGTCCTCTTGGCCGGTAGATCGTAGGAGGTCCTTGGGTAAACCCTGCACATGTTTTTCTACTTCTCTCGCCTTGGAGTGCAAGAGAAGTGTAGAATTAAGAAGTGGTAACCATCAACAATTACAGTGACAGGATTTTGTCCTCACAGATGTGACAACCAGCAACTTGTTTTTCATCTTTACTTGCACAGGCTGTTGATTGGTCGCTCGTTTGACCTTATGCTGGCACTGTGATACGAGCTTCGTAGATGTAGCAGTCGTTCACGAGCATTCTAGAGACACCATCAGCCTCTTTTGCTGTCTTCTTGAATGGTGTGTGCCTCTTTCGTTACTCATAATCGATGGTCGGTTTATCATGTTTAGCACTTTGCTGCAGATCAGAGAATATGGAGGAAACAAATTGTGGTGGCCATGAAAAGCCAGTACCAGAAATGATCAAGACCTAAGTAAAGGGGGGAGTGACCATAGTACTGAAGAAGCAAAGTTGTCAATTGCCCCCCCCAACCCAATGTGAGAGATGAAGGGGACATATTATGTTGGTGGTATATTTTGGTACATTGGGCTGCTGTTTTGTCAATCCTTTGATAGAAGCAGACATGCGAAAAGGACTTGGAAAATTATGCGTCTGGTTGTGGAGAGTGACCACCAAGGGCGGTGGAGTTCCTCCTTTCTGCCCCCACTCCCCCATGTGAAGCTTAACAGGTCAACAATGAGTGGTAATGGTACAGTTCTATGGAAAGATCCCAATTCCAGAACATCCGACTGACCAAGTTTGTGACTTTCCAAGAAGTGAGGAGCTTTTCATGGCTCGTGGTTAGTTTTACGATTGGACAATCACCATTGAACGTGAAGATGAAAAGGGGAATCGAAAATGACTGTCATTACAATGACCAAAGCTTGAGACAAGCAGACTGTGGAGGTGGAATATCATGAGAGAAAGGGGTAGAAAGTAACTAAGGGAGGATAATGAGAAGTGGGAGTGGTAGATGTGTCGCTGGCTGTCCAACATCAAGATAGTAGATTAGGGTCATCTGCATGGCCCTTCCAACAAGCCCTAAAGCCAAAACGTTAACATTGTACAGGGAAACTGGACCACCACCATCACCTTCTCCATTACTGTACCATAGACTAAAGATCTCGGGAGTGGTGGGTACGTAGCCAAAATTGTCTGGGATCGTTCAAAGTTGGTAGACCCAACTGGTCCAATCTTGCAAAGTCGGAAGTATGTGAACCATTTTACCCGGAATGAGTTAGGTGGTAATTGGATTTTAAGTAGCCACCATTTATTTTTCTTTTTTTTTAATTTCACGATTAAAATTGTTTTAGGGTAATTTTGGAAGAAAAAAAGACCATACTTGATTATTCTATGTACTAGCTTATAACCCGGCCCGTTGGCCGGAATGTTCATATTTGATTATTTGTATTTTTATGTTACATTTAGTCTATCAACCCGTTTAGTTTTATTGACAATTCTTCGATCTAGATGATATATAAAGAAAGAATATATAGGTCGAACTTTTGGAGAAATAAGAATATAAAATATAAAAATGATTGATCTCATTTTTATAATGATAATTAAGCCCCAATTAAAATGCTATTGGTTAGTTGATTGTCAAGAAAGATAGAGTACAAAAGCTCATTGGAATTCCCACACGCCATAGATAGTTTGAAACACAATTTTAAACCTCACAATCCTACATAAAGGGTTCAATGCACTCCTTAGGAACAATATGCCACTAATCAAAAAGAAATGGAGAGTTGTTGATTCAAGTCAACTATATACTAACAACTCAATTAAGAGGGGACCAATAAAACTTGAGAGCAAACGAAAAAATTAGGGTTACCTCCAATATGCTAATAAACTCGATCGAAGTAATAAGACACAAAATTAGACACTCCGTATCTATCAGTTCCAATAGGTTGAATAAAGAATCGACCTAGCTGCAAAAACCATAAACCTAAAGGTCCAATAGTCACCACTCTCTGCTGTAGAACCAAATTTTTATCTCAAGAGACATATGTTTCAATAAAAAATTCAATCTCTAATCCTCCTTCTACAACTCCATTTATTGAACTCCATTCTATTTGTCATGGATTGATATCGGAGTTGAAATCTTCTACTTGCCTAGCTTAAATCCCGAATAATAAAATCGTAGTGCCAAGAGATACCAAAAGATTGATTTCAAAGGCGGTCTTGTATTGAAAAGTGAAAGGGGCGTAAACTATTGCACGATAGAGGGAATTTCGGAGGAAGTTAAAAGAGATAAGAACAAAGATAAAAAAAAGCACTAAATATAAATTTAAATTGAAAATTTCAAGGATACAACACGCAGTAACATAATTAGTTTCTTCTATGGTAGCCAATTATCAATCTACCTTTAGCAAAAAAATTAAGGCGAGAGCAAAAAATTTAAAATTGAGAAAATTACATGAAACTCTAGCTACTATGAAAACTGAAGTATCAAGCACCATAAAAATATATACGGTAGACTTAGTGGGCTTGGTAATCATGATGGAAAATTCATCCAATTTTCAGAGTCTAACTTTGTGTATGCTTTGTACTAAAAAAGATACAACAAATTTGTTTAGTGTAATTGGTTGTGATTGTTGTCTTTGTTTTAAGAGACCCGGGTTCGAATCCTCATATTGATATTTTTATTGAGATAAATATTTAATTGTAAAGACAAAAATGTCCTTCCTACTTTCACTCTCGTTGCAGGAAATTTGAAATGGAGAAAAGTTCGCAAAACTCTACCATATATTATTGGAGGATTCTATGATAACCCTACTTCTCCCTCTAGTATTAACACGCCGCAGCCGCAAGCTCTCTACTCGTCGACGACAATGACTTTCTGACACGGCAAAACACAACACCAATCTGCGACCAAGTGTAATCGCAGACCGGGAATGCAGTAACAGGCAAGTTATATTATCAACTCGGGGTCTAGATCTACTGCTTACTCAGTGATTCTCTGTTATCTAGCCAACTAAAGTAAGTGATTGTTGTTTAAAAGCAAAAGCAGAAATAAAGCAGGAAATTATTCGGTTTTCTCAAGCAGGTAAGAGTCACTCGGGAATGAGCCCCCCTAGCTCCTTAGTTAGGTTCAATTGCAATTTCCCTGGGTTGATTTACTGTTGATTAGACTGCGGAAGATCTGACAGTAGCTTGGAATCTCTTAAACTGACCAAGCCCTCTCAGTCTAACTACCCGGCAGACGACTAGTCTTCACCGGGATAGAAAGCTGAAGCAGTAAGAACAGAACTCCACTACTGGAATTGGATTCCAGTACAAAGCAGTAAACTGGCTAACTCTCGTATAGCCAATCTCCTACTACCGAATGATGAGACTTTAACAACCTAATCAGATTCTATCTATCTCAGATTGCAGCAGGAATCAGGAAAAGTTGATCAGACTTCAATTGACTCAATAAACATGCATCATTCGATTAAAATCAAACAGTAATATCATCCCAAGTCATTACAATCAATCCCTAACACATAGAACTAGGGTTCTTCATCCCCAAGTGAGAGAGGGGTTCTACTCCATAGAGAGAGAGAGGAAAACAAGATACAAAGTAGTCATACTCATAAAGATGAGGAAAATCTGCTCTGGGATGATGATTTCCACTCCTATGACGATCTCCAAGCTTGATTTGATGAAACCCAGCTCCAAGATGGCTTCTAGGATGTGTTCTTCGTCCTTTCTCTCTCTAAAACTCTGTTTTTGCTCAAAAAGTCCGATTCTCTCTCTTGCAGCCCGGAATTGGGTTTAAACCAGGAAATCCCGACTCACACGGGCAGGGCCACACGGCCGTGTGGCATACCCAGTTGCCCGTGTGAGTCAAAACGCTGCGTTCCACTTAGTTCGATACTCAGGCTTCTCACACGGCCAGAGTGGCACGGCCGTGTTTGATTTCCATCTGCCCGTGTCTGCTCTCGGCAAAAGTCACACGGCCAGACCACTTCTTCACACGGCCGTGTGAGTTGTCAGGGCAGGCCGTGTTTGCTCTCGCACAATCTCACACGGCCAGAAATATGAGTTGCACGGCCGTGTGGTTTGTGGGTGTGCCCGTGTGGCCTCCTTTGTGACTTGCTTCGGGCCCGATCTTCGTCCAATCGACCCCAAACTCGCTCCCAAGCCTCCATTCACGTACTAGGTCCTGAAATATCACAAACAAGCACAACCTAGCGTGAAATCGGCCTAAAACACGGGAAATCACATCTCAAACGGTGTAAGAACAGGGGTAAAAACATGTGTAATTAACGGTCTATCAAACTCCCCCACACTTAACCGTTTGCTTGTCCCCAAGCAAACCAAGTCAGACACAAGGTAAGCTTACATATTTCAATAAATCAACATTGGGGACAAGTCATAAAGGCACAGAACACGTGAATCATACTGGTTTTCAAACATCAACACATGAGCAACTTCATTAGCAACCTGGACAACCACCACAAAGGACATTCGAGTGCAGCAAAATCGAGTAAAGGAAGAGTCTCCCTTCTGTTCACCAACCAACCTAGACTTGACTCAACCACTTACTCAAAACAGTCAACTCATGCATCCAACTCAAGACATGAGAATAGAGACCGAGCAATCTAGGTCCTCACCGGGGTACACGAGTATATAGAATATGAAAAATGAATCACTCACTCTCAACCAGTGGGGTCAGGACAATTTGATGCGAAAAATGCGCATGTTATTTCTCTCAATCCCTAACATCTCTTCACCATGATGGCAGCCTCTAAATGCTAGAGTTCACATATGGGGTGTCACCACTAACTAATCAGGAGGTCTTAGACACAGGTTCAAATGACTGGCTAGGGTCTTGGACATGGGGAAAAGGCCTTTTAGGTGGTGGAAGTATTCATAGCACAAGGTTCCACATTTCCAAACCCAAACAATCACAGTCAAACAAACCGGTATTTCCTTTCTGCTATTCTGCATTACTCAATATCTCAATAGCACAAGAGCGAAGGAGGTATAAATGTCAGCATTTCCAAGCCAGACTGCTAAGAAACACTACTTACTGGGCATTATTCAGATTTTTGGTAGTGGCTCTCTTTTGCTTCCAATTTTTCTTTGTTTTTCTTTCATTTTCTTTCATTACTTAAGAGAGCCACCACTTCTGCATATATTTCAAACACAAGCCCAACTTTTAAGCACTACCTCCAACACTCACATCAAATTTAGCAGAAACAGCAGAGAATATGTAAAAACCACTCTGTGGAACCTTCTAAAAGATGTAAACAAGGTGATTTTTTTTCATTTCAGACCAAAAGAAAGGATAACACACGGCTCAAAAGGGCTGACTAGGGGATATGACACATCAGGACAGTCAAATTTGGTCGTGGGCTAATCCTATGCCCCCATCATCTTAGCTAGTGACAACGTGAATGCTACACATCATGGAAGAGGGATCTATCGCACAAGAAAGAAACGAGCAGGCTCAAATCTCACATGGCTACCTATATGCTCTATCTCACATTCTGATACCCTGAACTAGATGCATAAGAGACTGTCAAGAATAAGTAATCAATCCAAGTCACAGTTGGTAAGAAAACAGTTGAAAAACTGAACCCCTACACAACTCTACTGCACGTCTTAGTCCTCATCATAGGTTGTCCTAGTCACATCAAGCTGTCATGCATCAATCCGAAAACCATTCAATTCATCAATCAGAACACAGTGCCAATATGATCAAACAGCAGTACTTGGAGCCCTCAAATCTCGAGATTTGGACAGTGGACTAGGCTCCAAGCACACATAAATACATTCCAACCGATACAAAGCACCCCCCCACACTTAAGCACGACATTGCCCTCAATGGAGCAGAGGGATAGAGAAGGGGAACGATGTTACCGGATTGAAACTGCTGGGGGACTGGAAGTGGACCAGTCAGCTAGAAACAAACGGGAAGATGGACAGTTCTGCACGAATCGAACACCAAGAACACACTAGCACACTGCGCGTTAGGGATAAGTGTTAGCCCAGAAGGCTACAGCAAAAACAATCCACAAAAGAAAAAACAAAAACAAAAACAAACGACACTAAGTTCAAGCTCCTCACACATGGAGCAAACACACACAAGTCTAAAACGAAAAACAAAACACACTGAGATGGACAACGAGTACAGCCTACTCGTCGCCGAGGTCGTCCAGATCGAAGTTGATGTCGTTCATGAAGGCGTCACCACCATCAGCACCATCATCACCATCCGCTGGGGGAGGTGGAAGTGGAGAGTCCTCCAAACTGGCTGCTCGCCCGGTATCAGCTGGAGCAGATGCTGCTGGACCTCCTGCATACCCCGTGAACGGCGCCTCTCTCGCTCGATGTGTGCGAGAGTCACTCCCTGCTGGGTCTGGAGCTGGTCCAATCTCTCATCGTAACTAGCCATCCTCTGGTGGTACTCGGCCTAGTGAGCCGCGTACTGCTGCTGGAACTGCATCTGATGGTCGATGATCTGCTGGTTCTGGAGACGCAGCTGCTCGAACTGGGAGGTGAAGTAATCCTGCCCCGGGAAACTGGAACTGCCACCCCCGTACACGAAGGTGGTGGGGCGGGCAGCAGCAGTGTCATCCACGTCCTCGGGCTGGACCTCCTCATCAGCTGCACCCTCGGGAGCCTCCTGCTGGACCGCCTCTGGAATCTGAGGTTGAGGAAACCCCTCGATCCACATGACTCCTCGCTCTTCTCGAAGCAGGAGCATCTTGGTGAGCGTAGCCCGGCCAAAGGGAGTGGTCGCTTCCTGCTCTGTGCAACCCTGCAGGGATATCTGGAAGTACTCTGCCAGGCAGGTGATGAGAGGAGTGCAGTGGAGTCTCTTCAGCTCAGAAGCACTCTTCTCGAAGGTCCTCGCCACCACCGAGCCCAAGTGCAGGGGATGATCCCTCTGGCGCATGGACTGAATGAAGTACAGGGATCTCTTGGTGATGGCGCTGGCACTGTCTGAGGCTGGGGTGTAAGACTTGGCCAGCAGGTGATGGAGGAGACGATTTTCGAGCTGCAATGTGGTGGCCTTCGTCTTCCCCGCCTTGAAGGGAAGCTGATGTGGCCGAGCGAGGCTGAAGTACAGCCTCCCGAAGTCCACCCTGTCGGGCTCGGCGACCTCTGTGATGAAGTCCCTGTCATTGACCAAGTTGACGCCCAGGGCTTCCGCCAGGTCGTCGTAACTCATAGAGCGTGGTTCACCGCCGAGTCGGAACTGGACTGCAGCTTCGTCCTTCCAATCGGCCGTGGCTGCGTGCTTGAAGGTGGTGTAGAACTCAAGCACGAGCTCATGGTAAACCGTCGCGCGGATGCTGAGTAGGCGGCGCCAGTATTTGTTGGTGACAACGGGGGAGAGGTGCTCGTAGCAGTTGAGCCTCTCCAACTCGCGCTTCGACCAGTAATGGTGCTGCCCAAACTTGCATGCCAGGACGTTCTGAAAACGATCCCGGTGGGCCCCCCTTCTCAAATCTTGAACATACTGATGCCGGAGGTTGGGCTTCAACATGATCCTGCAAAAGAACAGCCCAAAGTGGAACCAAAACAGCCAAGGAAAATGTTAATCACACCCCCACACTTAAGAACAGAAAACAGCCTAACCATGGTTTCATCCATAGTTCGGGGGTCAGAAACTCGATAAATCAAGCATAATCTGAGTGGGGGTGCACATCCATGAACAAGTAGGTAACGCAAG